ATTTCCTTGAGACCTTCCCACTCTCCCTTTCTCACATTCCTGATCTTCAGCTTCCTCCTTGGACCCCGCTGACTCATTTGACTCATGCAGAAATACAGACATTCGATGAGAAACGTGGGGGGTGACTCAATGGCTCCGAAATTCGGGGATCCAAAGCCTTAGGAATGAAGAGGCCCCTGGTCAAAGCCCGTAATACATCTCTCTGCTACGGGTGCCGCCGCTATTGAGTCCTGTCTCCCCTCTGCCAGGTCGCGATCTGAGAGCATCCGAAACCCAACCTTTGTGGTCACCCAGCCCCAAGGCAGCAGCTGGATCTGAGGAGTGGTGGTAAGGCCCCACGTCCAGACCCAGCCCCTTCCTTCAGTACACACCCTGAGCAAAGGTAACAACACCGTGGCTGACAGCAGGCGCTGCAGGTGCCCTGGCTCAAGGGCCAACCACCATCCTTGACAGCCACTCAGCAACCACAAGCAGACGGAACTCTCCACGTCACTGTCTGCTCGTCTGTAAAACGAGGGTGATGAGCCCTGGCCGGTTTGGCTCAGCGGTTCAAGTGTTGGCCCGCAGACCAGAGAGTCCTGGGTTCGGTTCCTGCTCAGGGCACGTACCTCGGTGGCAGTTCATCCCGGGCCCCAGTTGGGGTCATGTGAGTGGCAACCACTCAATGTGTCTCTCTCACATCAATGTTTCTCTCTCTCTTCCTCTCTCTCTCCCTCACGCTCTATCTGGATAGTTTGTTACAGGATTTAGAGAGCTACGGTGGGTAGAGGGCTTGGTGTGGGGTCAGGCCAACGGTGAGCTAGAAGGCTCACCTATAAACTACAGCAGGTCCTTGAATAAGGTCATTCCATTCTAACACTGACAAGACACCCTAGGAACTGAACTCTTGTTTGTATCAATTAGCTTATGGTGAAACTGATTTAGTCATACCTCATCTCTCTTAAAGTCGCAGAACCTATCGGCGACATTAAGTGGGGCCTTACTGTCCTCATCAATACTGCAATGACTGTTTTAAGGAAGCAGGCCTGCCATGGATTAAGGGTGACCTCCCTGCCCTGCCATGGATTAGGGACGACCTCCTTGATTCATGTGCCACTAGTTCTGACTCAGCATTTTCAAAGTCAATGATTAGGCAAACAGGATTTCAGGGGTGGCATTTGGACACAGTGAGTAGCTGACCAGACCCTCCTGTACTTCAGAACTTGCTGGATGCTGGACCACCAACCAGACTGAGCCATCAGAACCTCTGTTCCACACGCCGGGATTATTTCTAGTTGTTTCATTTACCCGAGGCAATCAATGGCTCTCTTTTAGTGTTCCGGACGCAGGCTGGCCACTAACTCAGACCCCCTGACTGCATCTAATGTGTGAGATTTCACTAAAAATACACTCACGATCCCTGACAGGCATGGATGTTTGGTTCTGGAAGGTGGGATGGTCAACGGGGTATATTCCTAATTTTGTCGGGCTTTTCCCCCTATGATACAGCTTGGCAGGTCCCAGGGCCCCCCCGCCCCGCCCCCGCAGGGATGCAAGCACCAGGCTAGCACTGAAAGGGACCGGTGGTGGCCCTGACTTGCACATCCCAGCACTGTCCTGAGGGGACCCTGTCTGGCCCTGAGTGGCCTTTCTCTGAGCGCAGGCACCCTTCCCGTCAGCGTGGACTGCCTGTGCTCCAATCCCCACCCCCCGGACCTGGGCACCCCCGTGCTCCAGGAGCCCCGGGGAAGGAAAGTGTGCAATCTCTTATCTAGTCCACCACCGTCCAACTCGCACAGACGAAAACCAAGAGCAGCCAGGCGCAAGCCAGGGCACAGCAGCGGGTTTCCCCGGGCCGCCGGGCGAACTGGTGTCTACAAAGTGAACCCAACCGGGCCTTTCGGACCCGAAGCTGCCTTGGAAGAGGGAGAGTCCTGCCTTCTTTGTCCCTCACAGTCTATTCTGGAAGGTGAACTGCACTTGACCCCACAAGTCCAGCACCCCTTTTCTTCCTTCGCATTCCACCTCTGAAGCCACAGATGGGCGCCAGCGTCTCCTCAGACAGGCCACTTGACACACGGAGTCCAGCCACGCCTGCCCTCTCCACTGACCCTCCCTCCCACTCCACGGCATGCCAGCGGCTTCCCGAGACAGTTCAGCTGGGGTCAGGCCACTCGGGCGGGCAGGGCCTGCGGGGGGAAAAGGGAGACCCACAGCCCACATCTCCATGGCAACCAAACACACGGGCTGCCCGAGGAGCACGTCAAGAAAGAAGGGAACTTTACCAGACCACAGAAACGCCCACACACTGCACCCCGAAGCTGCTTCTGGGGACGTGCACCCAGGAAACGGCCCCGCAGAGGGAGGGAAGGCCGCAGCACCTGGCCCTGGCCAGCCAGGGGTGATCACAGACCGGAAACGAGCTCGATTACTTTCACAAAGGAAACGGGAAACAGGAAAACACTCACATACACACCCACACACGCACTAACAACCGGCACACGGGGACGTGCAAGGCTCGTCCAGATTTGGGAGCCTTGGACTCTGTGCCAGCCCCACGCTAGGTTTTCAGCCTTGAGCAACTTTCTCTCCACTTCCTCTTCCACCACGGAGGGGGGGATGGATGCGCCCAGCCCCAGCTGTGCCGGCCCCTCGACGCGGAGATTCACAGACACACCTGAGGACCCAGGTGCAGAGCCAGGCTTGGGCGCCCCGGTGCCTCCTGGGGCATTTACAGGGACAGCGAGCCATCTGAACAGCGGCTAATTACTGCCAGTGCCCAAGGCAAGCTGCTCCGACACGTGGCGCTGCTCCCGAGTGCAGAGGCCGCTGTGTGTTTACCCACAGCAGGGGGTGTGCAGGCCGTGGCAAAGAGGAACATGCGGCACTCCCTACCCGACGGGGTCCCCGTCCCCATGCCTCAGCAGCTCCACCCGAGGGCCTGGACTGCTGGCACGGGGTCACAGATAGTGTGGTCACGTCTACATGACAGCACCAATGAGAAAGCAGGGCATGCCTGAGTCCGGAGAAATGGTTCCTTCCTGCTGTGGGACAGGGAAGGCTTCCTGGAAGAGGCAGCTTCTGAGCTGGGTCCTAACGGCTGGTCCGAATTTGAATGTGTAGAGTGTGCGGAGAGAGGAGATTCCGGGGAGCCATGTGTTGAGACATGGATGTGGAGAGCAGAAATTCGGTTTGATTTGATAAGATAACAGGAAGCAATGACACAGACCACAAGGGCCTTGAACGCTGGGCCATGCCAACACCCAAACCAGCTGTCTTCCCCAAGCCCTGCCGCTTGTCAGAAACTGAAGCAAGATAAACTCCACCACGGAGAAGCTGACAGCCAGCCTGCAGCCACTGGAAGAACCAACGGACTCATCAGTAAAGACTTTTCCCAACAACTGTCTTAGCTCAAATAATAATTGCTTGAGAAGAAAAACAGCTTCTACTTACTATTTTCTTTTCTCCTGGAAAATAGAGCAAATATTGAGAAATATTTTGGCAGGAGCAAAAAGTCGAAGTAATTCAAAAGAAGGTATGATCACAATGCTTGTACAGATAAACCAGAAACACGTGCCAAAGATTGTATTTAATTCACGAATTGGCAAGGGAACCAGTAGGACATTATACCAGGAGACTGCAGGGAAGCACAGAGGTGCAGCCTATCAAAAATGCTGAAATAAACTTGCTAAATGGATGCAAAACCAACCGTGGTCAACCCCACAGGGCGACGGTCAAGCTCGTGTTTTACAGGAAATCGCAGTGAGGACCGAGGCATGAGGTTTCGAGCCTGGCCGGCAGGGCCCGGCAGGTGAGGAGGCAGGTCCGGGCCCACAGTCACTGCAGACGGGGCATCAGAGGACCTCCAGGGCTGCGCCCCGAGCCAGCTGAGGGCAAGTCCCTCCTCTCCCTTCTTCAGAGGCTTCTAAAGTGAGGAGCCCGGCACTAATCAGGGTGCTTGGCACTGGCCACCCCTGGAGTCACCTGAGGAGCTTTGAACTGCACACTTGCCCCATATACTGCACACCTGCCCTACGATAGAAATCCCACCCGTGGGGCTTTGGATTCTGCTGGTCGTGGTGGGGCTGGGGCATCACTGGTTCTTATAATCTCCCCAGTGACTCTCATGAGCAGCCAGGATGGAGAACCACTGGGCCAGACGATTAGACTCCTTCCTCTCTGACACTCCTTGAAACTGATCTTTGGTAGAGACCATAAAACAAGCACAGGTCATGACCTGGTCAAACTTGGTAAATGTCCTACAATGTATCAGAATCTTCCACTGTGGTTGCCATTAAGTCAGTGAGACCTGTGCTGAGCTGAGCACAGGCCTGGTCCCCCAATTTGTTGTATTCATCAGAATGCATGTACTAGAGTACGAAGACACCCACAGGTATGAAGCAAGCACACACACAGGCATGCATGTGCACACCCACAGGTGCCCACAGGTGTGGGCTGACAGGTACCACCATCTGTGAGGCGTGCACACACAGGCATGCATGCGCACGCCCACAGGTGCCCACAGGTGTGGGCTGACAGGTACCACCATCTGTGAGGCATGCACACACACAGGCATGCATGCACACCCCATACTCTACACTCGTACAGTAGCCTTCAAATCAAAGACTGGAGTCTAAGAGTGATGAAGGGGCCCCACCTCCCACTGGGGTAACTGACTGATCAATCACCTTCTCGCCTTCACCGAAGGGGATAGAACTGGCAATGTGCAGATGATGGTAAATCCCTGTGCTTCCGCACCCCCAACTCTTCTGAGCTCTCTGATGGGCATTACAAACCCGACATTATTAGGGATCACTCTGAAGCCACTCAATGTGTCACCAAAGTCCATCCCAGGCAATCCCTGGTGCTCTGATCAGTCACCTTACCTTGATGGCCCCTGTGTTGCTGGCACGGAGCCCTGTTTAGAAGGCACTATCCTTTCGGTGGGGCCATGAAGGCCAAGGGCAATGTCTCCTCCCTGTCCCCGCCCCCACGACCCTCACCCCGCCCCACACACTTACTGCAGGCCGCGCAGGTGAAGCAGGCGTCGTGGTAGAGGTTCCCCATGGCCTGGCAGGCCTGGCCGGCCCCAAACACCCCTCTGCTGCATTTCACACAGGCACCTGCAAGGGCGAGAACACACCAGTGAGTCAGGAGGACAGTGTACACTGAGTCACAGAAGCCGACGAACAAAGCCTCGTGACCCTCCCCTTAAGCAACGCATCCCCAAATGCCACGCGGCCCTCCTCTGAAATGTCTCTCTCCCTCCACCAGCGATCAAGGATCAGCGCTTCGACTAGGGAACAGCCACCAGGCTGCGCTTCGGGTCCCACCCCCGCTGTCGGGCCTGGCTCTGCCATGCCTCCACTATGTCTACCTGCTCCTTTGCCCAAAGGTCTAAGTCTCCTGCTGTCTCTAAGACAGTGTCCAAAACCCTGCACCATGCTGACAATATTCCAAGCACACAGATGGCAAAATTTCAGCTGAACGATTTCCTCTCGCTCTCACTGGGAACCACCAACTAGGATTTACGAGCCCACTTTCTACAGAAGTCAGGCCCCAGCCCCAGGTCTGTCAGAACGCAGAGCAGGTACTCTCCCTGGCCCCTCACCTCCAAACACAACACCCCCGCCCCCGGGGTCTCAGCTCTGAGCCTTCTCTCCTGGGCTCCCCTGCCTGGCACCCTGCACCCACCTCCTGTCCCTTCCATCCCTCCGGCTCTCTGACCCTGAGGCAACCTGGTGAACCAGAAGTCAAAGAGCCAGGTTCTAACCTGGAGCTTCCCACCCACTCACCACCCACGTGGCTCGAGTAAACCCGGTAAGTTCTCTGAGCATCAGTTCTTAGTTGGGGAAAAGAGGACCATTCCAACCGCCTTGCCCGCCTTGCACGTTTGCAGGAGCGGCAGCGAAGGTTACTTTGAAAACCAAGAGTTCTGAAGCATTCATCTGCCTCGACTACAATGTATCTGCCGGAAGACCTGGTCTGGAATTGTAATGCCACAATCTAGCGGCTTTTCCCATGCAATGGGCGACGGGAGCCCCCTTCAGCGTTACTGTGAGACACATGAAGAACTCAGCACGGGGCCCTTCACCTGGTAACTGCTCAAGAAGCAGGCATCTAAGTGAAAAGGATGCTGCTGCACTCAGCACGAAGTTGCCTCGGCACAAAAGTGAGCTCTCCAAGACTTTCCAGGCCCCCCAGGACCTCAGCCCATGGATAAGCCACGGTCTCTCTGGACCAACCGGAAGCTGTGCTACCTCGGCCCAGGCGCGGCCCGTGCACAGAAAGGAGGCCTGGGGGCCTCTTCCACAGAATCCCATCACGGTCGAGCAGAAAACATCGCAACTGTGCAAACAGTTCAGGATATTTAAAATAAGATTCAGGGAAACATACCAAAACGTAAAGAAGAGTTTCTTTAGGTTGTAAGTTTATGGCTGGTTTTACCTCTTTGCGGTGTCTGTATTTAAAAAACAGTTCTTCTAAGAGCAGGCGTTGCCCTATAGCTTTAAAAAAGTCTAGTCTCAAAAAAGTTGAAACATTTTTAAATAGATGGTATCATGTTAAATTGTTGGAAAGTCAATTCTATGTGCACACATACACACGAGAAGAGCTGCCCCGGCTCCCAGCAGGTGACCGGCTCTCGTGCTTGGTCAGCAGGGCCCCGGGTGGCCTGTTCTGGTTCCCCTCTGCCCGGCTGTTCTCAGGCTGCAGACCCCGTCTCCTGCCGACAGGGCCGAAGCCCTGTGGTTCACAGTCCCATCGTCCCAAGTGGGCGAACTAACTGTCCCACCTTCAGAGGCATCCAAGCCCGCACCTTTCGTGAAATGCACTCACCAGCCCCAACAGGCCCACAGAGAGCACAGCGAGCCAAGGGCCCTCACGCCACTTCACCAAACCCCGAGGAGCACGGGAGGCCGTTGTAGGAACAGTATGGTGTTGGCCAGGGAAACTGGCACTTGGGGGAATTCGTTCATGGAAAACTCTAGAGAAGCCCGGCCGGTGTGGCTCAGTGGTTGAGCATCGACCCATGCACCAAGAGGTTGCCGGTTCGATTCCTGGTCAGGGCACATGCCCAGGTTGTGGGCCCAATCCCCAGTAGGGGGCATGCAGGAGGCAGCCAATCGATGTTCTCTCTCAATGATGTTTCTATCTCCTCCCTCTCCCTTCCTTTCTCTCTAAAATCAATAAAGGAAAAAAATTGTAAAAAGAAAAGAAAACTCTAGAGAACACACTTTGTGGTTCTTCAGTTTCAACATTATGAAATGTTCAAACATGCAGAAAAGTTGAAAGAATCATACAGGGATACCCCCTCACATGCCCACCACCCCCATTCTATGACTGTCAACATCAGACAACCCAACAATCCATCTTATTTTCGATGCATTTCAAAGCAAGCTGCAAACAGCCATCCACTTCACCCTGGACTCTTCCCCCTGCAAATCACTCATCAGAGTTCATTATTTCCTTATCATTGTCTTTTCCAAGATAAAATTCACAAACAGTGAAATGCACAAATAAGTCCACCATCCAATGGATTTTGGCAAATGCCTCACAAACTCAAGTCAAGACAGAATATTTCCAACAGCCCAGAAAGCTCCAAGGCCCTTCCCTCCCACCTTGTCTTTCATCACTATGAAACTGCCTGTGCATGTCCATCTGTGCGTGTGTGCATGTCCGTGTGTGTGTGTGTGCGTTCATGTGTGTGCATGGGTGTAGGGCGAGACCACTGCGCAGCTGGTATTTCTGTACCTAGCAAGCAGGAAAGTTCAGAGTCCCCATCGCTATGAAATGGAAAATGTCAATGAATTCACAGGTCTCAGCATTTCTTTCTGTCTGAACATTTCATATACCAGGTAGGCTGCTCCTAAGTCAGGAGCCACATCAGTCCTGGGCACGCACAGAGCTGCGGCAGCCAGCGGGGAGGTGACGTGGGGCGGCAGGGTCCTGCCGTGACCACCCCTCCGTGGGCCGTTTCAGCAGGCTCATCGCTCTGGAAACCGGTGGGCCGGGCTGCTGCTGCTGGACCCGGAGGACCGGTCATTGAAGCAGCCCGGGCCAGCTGCGGCCTCGGGGGCGGCTGACATTTGGGAACGTGGGTATGTGAAAGCGATGGTGTTGGCGTGTTTGCCCCTGGACGTGCTATGGCCGGTTCCTGGTTACCTGGACACCTGCCGGCCTCTGCTAGTAAACTGGACGTGCCTGGGGACAGGGCCATGTCCTGACCATGGTCTCTGAACGTGGCTGACGAAGAACCATCGAACTGACTCACTTCCTGTGCAGCTCCACACGCAGCCCTGAACACTCCCCTCTTCGCCCCTCGTACGTGGGGTACATATGTCCCTCCCCTGGTGAGTGCCTTCTATATAGATTCAGAGTCCTATTCATCTCTGAACACCCCCGGCCACTGACAAGGCGCACTCAGTCTGCCCTCAACAAGCACCTGTGGAAACAGGAACGGCTCCGTGGACACTGAGCTCTGCGGCGGCGTGAATCAATGCAATGGGGAGAACACTCCTGAAAAATGTGGTAGTAATTGTACCATCTGGTGATCCCGAAGTCTACTCCCAGTCCCAAGTCCCTGGCCAACCCAACTCTAGACCTCGACACCAAGCAACAGAGGCTGGCTTGCCAGATGGCGGCCGAAGCGTGCTCAGGCCGACTGGGTGGCCGTCAAAGCCACAGGAGTACAGCTGCTCACCAGCGGGAACAAAACCACCCCCAGGGGCAACACACTTCTTCCCTGCTGATCCTGGTGGCTGAGCCACTGTAGAAATGTCATTGCAGCCCTGGCTGGTTTGGCTCAGTGGTTAAGCGTCGGCCCAAGGACCAAAGAGTCTGGGGTTCGATTCTGGCCAAGGTTGCAGCTCGTCCCCGACCCTGGTCGGGGTCGTGCAGGAGGCAACCAGTTGACGTGTCTCTCTCACATCGATGTTTCTCTCTCTCTATCCCTCTCTCCCTTCCACTCTATCTGAAAGAAATGGAAAAATAGCCTCGGGTGAGGATTTTAAAAAAAGAAATGTGGCTGCAAAGAACAGAGGAGCGTGAGGGTCAAGGGCACGGTCAGCCCTTCCACTGCCCACAGGTGAACGCGGGAAGAGGACCAGCCTTCGAGACAGCCCACGGAGGAGGAGAGCCGCAAGGAAGCTCCGAGTCGCTGGGATTTTGTCGACTCACAGGGAGGACAGGAACTCGTCTGGTTTGGGTCTGGGGACTGACCTCAGAGCGGCCGCCCCACTCCTGCTCCTAAAGAAATGGCAGGATGGACAACATCTTCAAGTGGACACGGACAACCGCCAGGCCTCCGGCTTCCTGCTACTTTATCTCTGGACATCAGGCCTTCCTCCCGTCCCTGCAGCCAGCCAGCGACACGGCCCTTCTGGTTTCCTCTTCATCTGCGGACTGAGACCGCGGACTTCAACCTCGCCCCTCCCCCACTCCCGAGCCTCGGGCCTTCGCTCCGGGCGGCTGACACCCTCTCACCAGGCCCACCACCTCGCACAGACACAACGCAAGGAAGGGCCACCAGTCACAGAGTGGGGACGATCCCATAAGAAGGGCCACCAGTCACAGAGTGGGGACGATCCCATAAGAAGGGCACCAGTCACAGAGTGGGGACGATCCCATAAGAAGGGCCACCAGTCACAGAGTGGGGACGATCCCATAAGAAGGGCACCAGTCACAGAGTGGGGACGATCCCATAAGAAGGGCACCAGTCACAGAGTGGGGACGATCCCATAAGAAGGGCACCAGTCACAGAGTGGGGACGATCCCATAAGAAGGGCACCAGTCACAGAGTGGGGACGATCCCATAAGAAGGGCACCAGTCACAGAGTGGGGACGATCCCATAAGAAGGGCACCAGTCACAGAGTGGGGACGATCCCATAAGAAGCCACACAGGCAGGAAGGCACTTCAGCCTTGTGGTAAATGGACAGAAAAGTGCCACACGGGCAGGAAATAGACTGATTCCTCCTTTGGTAGAAAAGAAAAAATCAATCAAAGTCCATTTCATGTTCTAGAAAAGGATGCACCCACCGGACCCCGCCGGACTCTTCTTCCAGCGAAGAAGCCACTGCCCACACCCCTTCCTGAAACCCGAGTTCAGCTGACCCCTGCTGAAG